AAAAAAAAAAAATGAACATGAAAAAGGATTCCAGAAGCCTGAATCAAATAAAAATGAAATCTATTTACTAATGAGACCAAAACTGATATTAAACAAGAAGAAAGGTACATATGCATAGGATGAACTCAGCATGTCAACAGTAATTCAACTTGAACTAAGACATCTCTGCTAAACTATTACTCTGGTTAAGTCATTTCATTTGGCCAAATGTCAGAGCCGAAGTATATGAAACTGAGCATAGCATGTATTATTTCTGTATGATCATTTTCTATCCAAAAAAAGCACATTGGAGACGTCCTAATTATAAATTTCCAGAAAATGAAAAATTTAGGGTTCTGAACAATTATTAATCCACAAGAGAAATAACTACAAAATTAAAAATAACAGCTAAGAAGATTTTCAGCTATAAAATACTATGATGCTCTCATAAAATGGTGACGGTATTATGGAATTTTTTAAATTCTACAATTAAAAACATTTTATATCCCCTTTCTTAGAAAGCACATCCTACTAAAACATATTTCAATTGAGCACCTATAAAATCCACTGTATTTTGCGTTTTCTTCAGAATGTGATTACCATAAGCAAATAACTATGACTGCTGTAACTTAAAATACATTTTTTTGGGGAAAAAATGAATTGAAACAATTTAATTTCTCCTATTATATTAATCAAAAAATATTATGTAACTTAATGCCATCAAGTGAGAGGCTCAGAAAAGGAAATCAATTTAAACCACAGGCAGGCAGCCAGAGTATCATTTAAGAATAATGCACTTTAGAATAACTGGAAATCACAAACTACACTCTAAACTAAGTGGTTGTTTCTCCATTTTAGATTATACATACATAAAGCACTGTTAGGAGATCTTTAACTCAGATAGTAATGAGAAAGATAATGCTTAGAATTCGAGAAAGCCTGGAGGTTTAAAGAAAATAAGGGCATTTCCCCAAATACACAGAATATATATACCTTAATTTTCCAAAGAGGAATCCTTGAACTTCATCAATAGGATCATTTTCACCAATCACTGTGGTGTTTACCTCAGTTCCTATAAAGCATAGAAATTACATCTGTAATACTCAGATTAGAAACAAAAATGTTATTAAATTCATAAACTACATAAAATTTGAATAATGTAAAATAAAAGTCAGAGACACCTTAAATTACACCATTTAAAATGTTAAATATCCCAATTAACCTTTTACAATGGTTCTTTAAACGAACAAATGGAATAAATGTGTTTTACTATTTCCTGTGTTCCTGGATAAAAAACGTATTTTTCCCCTAAACGATGTGAAATTTTATATGTTAAAAGTTTCAAGACTAATAGCTTTAAATATTATGAACAAAGGATTTTTTTAATGTTAAATTTCTGAAGAATTTGCAATTAGGCAACTTAATCCTAAATATAATAATTACTGAGGAAAACAGAATGATGACTAGGTTATTTTCCATTTGCTTTACTACCCAAACTGATCATTTTTGGTCTTTAAAATGGGCTTAAAAGGAAGAAATAAAAGGACAACACACAAAACTTGTGATTGAAATAATAAATTCATAACCCTCACAGGTCTCACTGCATAATCTCAGAAGTTGAAAAAAAAAAAACCCCTCACAGTGGTGGGGCACCTGTGGCCTCAAGGCCACATGGGGAGGGAACCTTCCGGATCCCCAAGTGCGGATCCTCAATCGAAGCCAAACTTAACAGAACAAATTCCTTTATTAAAAGGATTTCTTCTGTAAAATTTGGATTCAGTCAAAAAGCTATAATCAAGGATCTAGGCAGCCACATGTGGCCCCAAGGCCACAGGTTCCCCACCCCTGCTTGAACAGGAAGCATCCATAGTAAACAGGAAGCATCCATGGTAAACTGTTACAAGTGGAGAAAATAATAAAGAACACAAAATTGTTCATTAGACATAGGATAGTTTAAGATTTCACACTGGAGAGACAAATTAATGATTATTTATAAACCACATAACAAAAGCTACGACTTACTGAACATTTTTGTGCAAAAAACAATGCCAAATTCTTTACTTATGCATCTTATTTACTCCTCTCAAATACTTGAAGAGACATTATCACCACCTGCATTTTCTACAGGGAAAAATTGGGACCTAGAGAATCTGCTTAAGGAAACTCACTGAGATGTAGCAAAAACCAAGATTCAAACACAGGTTCAGAATACTCCTAAATCTATTCTTTTTCATTATGGAAACAAATTCCCCTTTAACTTATATTTAAAGAAAAAAGAAAACCCACTGGTCTTATTTTTACAAATTCACCTTTCACCTGAGTATCATCCTTGGCCTTGTACTCAGTGCTCTTAATGGCCAATTCCACACCATAGCCAGAGAGGTAAACGGGCTCCTTCCTGGGGTTCTGCAAGCAGAGCAAATATTCCATCATTACCACCTAGCTCTTCACATGTCCTAGTATATATGACACAACCACGTAATGTTGCATCTACCAGCCATTATGCACTCAAAAGTATCTTTAAATTTGTTTGCTAAAGAAATTAACTATGTGGTCAAGAGAGCTCACCGCACAAATTTTTTTAGTCCAAAATCTACCAAAATACCAACAGTAATAAAAGCACTTACCTATCAGTAAAATATTGATTCTATTTTTAAAAAATCAATGTAGTTTATGTTTCTCTCCCTATAAAATCCTAGCCTCTTTTACATTTTGTATCCTGCCACGACTGTAGGAATGGGAATTCCAAGGCAGAAGCAAAACCAGATGAATGGACAGCTGAAATAGCAAAGGTTCCAAACCATGTGAAAATGGAGAAAAAGAAAAAGAAATTCCAGAACCTTTTGAACAGGGTTGAAAACTAGTGAGGTCTCAATCCCAGAAATGCTTTGTTGGGACCAAGGATATATGTGTATGTTTTTTATTCAGTTTAAATGCCTTCAGGCAGGGCTTGGGCTAACCAAATGTCACAGGCTCACCACCATTCTGAGTGATGATGGCCCTTTAGACATTTTATTCTTAAATACCACCAATAAGTGTGAGGGGATCGGGGGAGGGCAGAAGACAAACTGTCAAAAATTGGACTTTGATCAACCTGTTTCTGCTTGTACAAATTTTCATTTAAAATTTTTATTTTATTTGCAGGGGTTTAGCACCCAATATTTACTGAGCTTATTATGACATAAAAACTTTAAAGGCTAACAATATTTACATAATAATATTTTAAATGCTAAATGTTACACAAAGTCTTAAAAATTTAAATTTAAATCAATTCTGCCTGATTTCACCTCTTAAGAAATCCTCCCCCTTCCACCAAATAAAAAGGTGCCAAAAAGTGAAAAATGGTTACAGTTCCATAGTATGATGACATTCATTCATTCATTCATTCATTCACTCATTTACAGATGGGGTCTCGCTATGTTGCCAGGCTGGAGTGCAGTGGCTATTTTACAGGTCCAATTACATTACCCATCAGCAGGGAGTTCTGACCGGCCCCAGTTCCAGCCTGAGCTGGTTCACTCCTCCTCAGGAAACCCTGTTAGGTCCCCCACTCCCAGGAGGTCACCACACTGATACCAAACTCAGTGTGGACACCTGACTGGCATAGTGCGCTCCAGCTCAGAACTCCTGAGCTTAAGCAATCCTCCGGCCTCAGCCTCCCGAGTAGCTGCGACTACAGGCGTGTACCACCATGCCAGGAAACCATATTAAATTTAGAAAATATTATTTACATGAATCATTTTGAAATAAAATGTCAACTTCATTAAGCCATTTCTTAGCAAAATTGTTTTTCGCTTATTCAGAAAGGCAAGCAAAGCACCTCCTATGTGCAAATAATAGATTTGATGAAAGTATTGGAATTCTCAAAAAAGTAGCTAAAATAACTAAATTATTTTACAAATAGGGAAATTGCTACCTTATGATCTAAGGTCATCCTAGGCAATTTAATATTCAAAACAATTGTAAAATAAGTCAATACTTACAGATACATAATGTCTGAATACATAAGTGATTTTCCCTGCATTGCTTTTTGACATAAGTTGGCGGTGGAAATTATAAAATTCCTCATAGCCAATCTCAGAGTAGAAAATCACCACCGGGCTTTCAGGATTAGATGAAGGATATCTGTGATCTCCTTTAAACAATAAAGGTTTGGGTCTGAAAATAAATATTAAAAGCTTAAAACTTTAAACTTAAAAAATGTTTAAATACTAAAAACAGTAGGAAATGTAAAGTATGGCTATGATAATTTAAATAAATATTATAAACATCTTAATATAAAGAGTAGGACAGTCTTAAATAGTTTTCACTTAGTAAGAATACCGTGATGTATAAGTCTTATTTGTTTCTTATTATTAAAAATAATAAAGGCGCATTACAAAAAATACTAACTATAATATACAGATTTTGATTAATAATTGCTGAGTCCTAAAAAGGGAAAAACAAAGTGAGAAAAAGAACACATATTCAAATCTCAGAGTACTAAAACTAGAGAGCGTGTGTGCGCGCGCGTGTGCGTGTGTATTTTGTGTGTGTGTGTGTGTGTGTGTGTGTGTGTGTGTGAGAAGGGGCCTCACTATGTTGCCCAGGCTAGATTCAAACTTCTAGGCTCAAGTGACCCTCTTGCCTCAGCCTCCTGAGTCGTTAGAACTACAGACACGTGCTACCACACCCAGCTTAAAACTTCTTTATTTTTTTCTACCTTATAAATAGAACATGATTATCCTTTTATCTGAAAACATACATAACAAATAATGCAAGAAGCAGAGGATGACATTAGCATGTTACTTGCCAATCACAGTAAGTCTCCTTCCTCTACCCTTTTTACTATCATGATCTTTCTACTAATGGACTTACTTCAGTTTTCCTTATAAATTTTAAGACTTCTCAAAAAAAGTAAAAACTTCTCTAAGGATGGCATCAAGATATTAATAGATCTTAATACATACACTCTACAACCTACCAATCCCTATTATAATAAACTACGTAATTCAACAGCAGATTAAGGCATATGAATAAAGATGTTCACTACAGCCTTACTGTAATAGCAAAAAAAAGGAAACGACTTTAAAATAATCAAGTAAGAAGTACAAGACAACCTTACATAGTTATTATGCATGTGTTAAAAATAATGAGGTACACCTACACATACTAAATGGAAAGATGTCTCTTATAAAAATAAACCTACCTACGTGTATAAATTTAAAACCACAGAAAAAAGTCTAAAAGTATATATGCCAAACCATTAAAAGTAGTTGCTGCCTCTCAGAAGTCATTCTTTTCTTTATAAAAGTCTGCATTGTTGTCATCAACAAATTAAACCAAGTTTTTTAAAGAATTACAAAGCCATCAATTTTGTTTCCCCCAAGAGAGCACCACTTCACTATCATTTTCAAATGTCCATACCTTGATCCTGAGATAACTGCAATATGCGATGCTTTTTTTGTTGTTTTTTCATCTTTTGTTTCGGTTTGAGGTTTTTTGTTTTTTGTGACAAGGTCTCCCTATGTTACCCAGGCTGGTATCGAACTCCTGGGCTCAAGCAATCCTCTTGCCTCAACCTCCTGAGTAACTGAGACTAAAGGCACATGTCACCACATCCAGGCAACACACTGCGTTTTCTGGTTGTCACCCTGACTGAGTAAGAAGCACTAATGCTATTTGGTGCGTGAGGGACAAGTGCTAGGCAGAAAATCTCAACAAAGAAGACCTACACCGCCTAACCTGCCATTAGCACTATTGACAGAGCAGGCCAAGACCACACAGAGATCACGGTCATCATATTTACTACAGCATTAGAGGAGTGCAGGGGGCTTGCTGCCTAGCCAGACAACAGCATAGGTCCTTAGTATAGTTGTCCAACACAGGAAACCTACCGTTAGGCAAAAATCTAGCACATGAATTACCAACTTAATATTCAAGTCAAGCTTAAAATTATCTTTTAAATATTCTTTGTCTGAAACTACTATTAATAATATCCTGAGAGATCATTATCATTAGTATCACTTACTTCAGGCACACTGGCTTTAATATACACACTATTCCTTACTAAGCTAATGACAAAGCCTATGTAATCTCTCAGATACAGTTATTATTAAATAATAACAGTAATGTTAAATACTCATATAATCTCCATTTTGAAATGAGATGAGGAAAGAAAGTAATTTGCCCCATTTCAGAAAAACATTTTAAGTGACGGAGCTCAAATTCAAATCTAGTCAGTCTGGATCCAGAATCCACACTCCAAACCATTATAGCTATAGACTACAAAACAGATAAAAATCAGAAGGCGGACTTAATACAGAAGAAACACAAGGAAATGTATGACATTTAAACAAATACACAGTCTACCTTTCAGACGCTGTTAGTAGAAGAGTCTCAAGAGTATCAAAATCACAAGTCTTCTTTCCATGCACTGAAAAAAATGATTTACATCCTTCTGGTGGAGGTTCATCAGCTGCTATCTGCCATGTAAGACACAATACATAAGTTTCTTAAAATTCTAACTGAAGACAAGATAGAGACATGTGTATTCTAAATAAGTGATTAAAATATAATAAAACAACATTAATAAAAGCAAAAACTAACATCTGCTGAACACCCACTCTGCACCAGGTGAGTAAGAGCTTCCATAAGCTGACGGTACCGTGAGGCGGGGAAGGGTTGAGCTGTACTTTCCTGGTGACTGAATTCTGCAAGGTGGCTTGCACCTTTGTCTCCTACGTGTTCTTCTTGTAGGCATTTCCACTCCGTTTCCCTGCTTTTGTGCCTCCCTCCCTGACTACGCCTTCCCTGATTTCCTCTCTCTCCTCACGGTTTACCGTTATCTTTATCTGTTATTTCTGCTCCCATCTTCATCACCGTGTCACCCGTCCCCTCCCCGTGGAGTTCCGTAAGTGCTCTCTACCCATCTTCCTCGTTTCTCCTCCGAGCTGCATTACAGTCAGTGGGCTCTCCTCCTTGCCCTAGGCCGGACCCAGGCCTCCTTTTCCTCCCTGGGTTGATGCTTTCTCATCTGTTGTCCAAAGCTCAGACTTCCCTGTTAGCAGATGATGGCACTTTTGTGTATTTCAATTTGAAAAGGTTCAAAGACAATCCAGAAAATGCTTTCACCCCCTTTTTCTAGGTGGGGTTACACCCCCGGACCAAATTTCGAAGCCAAGGAAAGGTCTGTACGGAGAAACCTGGGGTTGAGGAGGCTTAAGAATTAGTGCAAGTACAGACACCTCAGATGTACAAGTGTTTGGACTTTTCCCACACGGTTCTCCATGTGCCGGCCTTCCCCTCACAGCATCCCCTATCACCAGAGAGAACTCCTAATTGCCGTATTTGGAAAAACAATTCCAAGGTTAGGGTTATCTCCGTCCCATTTTATACCGGGGATGGACCCTGCATCTCTTGGCATCACCACTGGGTGACACTCTGAATCACAGAGCTGTTTTAAATGGTCTTAGGAATCTTGGGAGCTTTCTCACTGGAAGAAACCTTCTTTTATGCTGAATGAAGAGGATATCTTGATCAGCTGTCTATTTGCGGTTGCACAACTAGTTTTCCCATTAGATGTTTTAGTCCTATCATCCTGGGAACCTTGGACAAACCAGACTGATTTAGCTGACACTGAAAACTGATCCTTTAAAGCTTAATGAGCTTTAAAAAAAAAAAAAAAGCTCAAGGCGAGTAGGGTAGGGAGAGGGCCTTTCTTTAGTCACTTTTTAGCTGACACCAATTAGTCTTTCTGTGAAAGCTGATATATTTCTTACTTCTTGGATTCTAAACTGTACTAGTGGGTTTTTGTGTTATTCTAGAGTTACTGTTAACTTGGTGGTACTGAAACGCATAGACTATATCAATGGTCTCCCAATATTTATTGTGACGAGTAAAAATAAATTGAACAATTTAAAAAAAAAAAAAAAGCTTCCCATGCCAGTGCTTTCCTTGCATTATTTCACTTAGGTCCTCCCATACGGTCCCATGAGGTAGGCGCTACTTTTATTCCCCAAGCAGAATGTTAAAATTCTACTTCAGAAGATATCAAAAGATATACAGGGAATATTGACTCAGAACAATTAGCACTAAGCTATATTCGAATAAATAATGACTTTAACGAAAAAAGTCCTTTGGGCCTCTAAACAAAAAGAGCAAGAGACTTTTAAAGGAAAGAAAATGACATTATTGTCCCACTTTCTCCAGGAGGACTTAATGCGGAAATAAAATAGAATATGATTAAGATAATCAAGGAAAGAAAAAATGAAGCAAGGCTTTATATCCAGACTTTCAAGTACAAAGGGCACACAAAAAGTATCATATAAACATGCAAAAACTGAGGAAATGTTGTTCCCACAAGCCCTTCATGAGGGATCTACTGGGAAGCAGCATCAAAAAGGCAACTGAGGCCGGGCGCGGTGGCTCACGCCTGTCATCCTAGCTCTCTGGGAGGCCGAGGCGGGCAGATCGTTTGAGCTCAGGAGTTCGAAACCAGCCTGAGCAAGAGCGAGACCCCGTCTCTACTAAAAATACAAAGAAATTAATCGGACAACTAAAAATATATAGAAAAAATTAGCCGGGCATGGTGGCGCATGCCTGTAGTCCCAGCTACTCGGGAGGCTGAGGCAGAAGGATCGCTTGAGCTCAGGAGTGTAAGGTTGCTGTGAGCTAGGATGACGCCACGGCACTCTAGCCCGGGCAACAGAGTGAGACTCTGTCTCAAAAAAAAAACAAAAAATTATAAAACTCTTAGAATACAGAGGAAAACTTCACAACGCTGAATTTGGCAATGATTTTTGGCTATGACACCAAAAGTACGGCAATTAAAGAAAAAATAAACTAGATTTCAAAATTTACAACCTTTGTGCATCAATGGATACTATCAACAGAGTAAAAAGGCAACCCATGGAATGGGAGAAAATATTTGCAAATCATGTATCTGTAAGGGATTAATATCCAGAATATACAGAGAACTATAACTCAACAACAAAAACCAAACAACACAATTTAGAAATGGGCAAAACACTTGAATAGACACTTATCCAAAGAAGACATACAGATGGCCACTAAGCACATGATAAAACATTCAACATCATTAGTCATTCATTAGGAAAATGCAAATCAAAACCACAAAGAGATATCCCTTCATACCTATCAGGATGGCCTCTATTTAAAAATCAGAAAATAACAAATGTTGAGGAGGATGTGAAGAAATTAGACCCCTCACACATTACTAGTGAGAATGTAAAACAGGGCAGCCACTGTAGAAAATAGTTTGACAGCTACTCAAAATGTTAAACATAGAGTTGCCATATGATCCAGGAATTACAGTCCTATGCGCATATTCAAAAGAACTGAAAGCAGATACTCATACACCAATGTTCTATAGAAGCATTATTCATAACAGTCAAAAGGTAGAAACAATCCAAATGTCCATCAAGAATGATAAACAAAATGTGGTATATACATGCAATGGAATATTATTCAGCCATAAAAAGGAACAGAATTTTGATACATGCTACATGTGGGTGAACCTTAAAAATTATTATACCATGTGAAATAAGCCAAACACAAAAGGAAAAACATTGTAAGATTCCACTTACATGGGCACCTAAAATGGTTCCTAAATTCATAGAGTTAGAAAATAGAATGGTGGCTGCCATGGGCTAGGGAGAAGACGAGGGAAAATGGGGATTTATTAGTTTATGGGTATAGAGTTTCAGTTTTGCCAGATGAAAAAAGTTCTGAAGATGAATGGTGGTGATAGTTACACAACAATATGAATGCACTTGATACCACTGAACTATGTACTTAAAGATGGCTAAAATATTAAATTTTGTGTTGTATATTTTACCGCAATAAAAAAAAGTTGATGGTCAAAGTAAAAGCATGTTAGTGAATCAAACTCATTCAGAAATGTGGTAAGTAAAGGCAACATATCTACCACATGTGCTGCCTTTCCTATGTGAACGTATCACCAAAGAGTACCAGATTTATATGCATGTTCCAGAAACGAATGAAAAAAAATGACAGAATGAGTCACCAGTTTACAATCCCCAAAGAATTAATACACTAAGTCTAGAGCACTAATGGCTATCAAATCAAAAAAAGAAAAGAAACCAGACATTAGCTGCCTACTAATAGAAGACTAGAACACCACCTATAGACTTGCCAAAGGGAGGAAATCCAATTCTGATCGAGCCACCGATTTATAGGAAAGAGAAGACAGAGGAATAAACTCAACTGCCTCATGAGTATGCGATCAACAAAACATGGACCATGAAGAAATCCAGGTTATACAACAGAAAAAGAAAGGGATGGAAGGAAAACCTGTAAATTAAGAAACCCCTCCCCAAATTACAAAATTTTTTAAAGACTGTGCAAAACTAAACTCTACTGTGTGGAGATGCAATAAAACAATGAAGAAACATAGCAAGTCATTCCAACAGACATTGCATTGAGAGAGTGGCTTCTTTTGGAGGGCTAAACGTGATTGTGATTGGGGACAGACAACATGGAGGGTTCCAGGGTGCCTGGCCAAGTCCTATTCCTTGACCTAGGTGAAAGTTACAAAGGTGCTCACTTTATAATAATTCACTACACTATATATTTGTTGTGAATGGTTTTATGTATGTTTTATTTTATAATAATGGTTTTAAAATTAACATTTCTTTTATATCAAATACCCAGTTGGTGAACACATTTTTGATTGCCTCTTCTGTTTCTCTTTTTTTAAAAAAAAAAAAAAAAATGAGAGTTTGTTGAACTCAAGATCCAAACAAGATCTCCATGCTGCATTAAGCTGACACATTTTTTAAGTCTCTTTTCCTTTAAGGTTCCTCTGGCCCTTTTTCCTTTTCCCTTATATTTATTGAAGAATCCACATGATTTTACTACAAAGTTTCATGCATTCCGGATTTTCCTGACTGTATCCCAAGGTGTTGATAAACATATCCTGTCTCCTGTGTTTCCTGTGAAGTGCTATTAGACCTACAGGCTGTGATCAGATTCTGGTTCATTAGTTTAGCAAGACTACACCCTGCCGGCAATGTTGCATAAGTGTAAAGTCTGGTCGTTTCTTTTCTCTATAGATATTCTTTTTCTTTCTTATATGCAAATAAGTACAAATTATTTTTTTAACCCATGATTTTGCTTAATATTTTAAAACAAATAATAAATCCTAGAAAATTTCAGGCAATAAAGCGATAGCTCTGTAATTCAATTCCAGGACAACTGTCATCGTCACGCCATGCACCCTACAAAATGTTGTTCTCTAGCCTCACTGGACTCACCTGCTGGAAGGCTTGAATTGTTGCCGAGTAGGAACGAAGAGACAAACAAAATTTCAGCAAATTTTGCTGTAGAGGTGACAGAAACTGAAATGCAGCTTCCAATATTGCATGATAATAGGAATAATCAGTACCTGTCAAGGAAGAACATTAACCAAAATAATTGTGTATGACTCAAGATATCCAAATAAGATACTTCACGAAACATAAAGCTGTATGTTGCAAAAGTATGTGATGGCAAAATTTTACCAGTATACTGTCTGGAACTGTTCTCAAATCCTTAAAATTCCCTAGAGTACACAATGCAGCCAGACTCTTCCTTTCTTCTTCCTTCAATCAAACTACTCCCTCTCCTGGACTGCTACTTTCCCTCTTACCTGGATGACTTACTCCTACCTACTTCCTCCGTAAGAATTCAGCTATGAATCACCTACTCCAGGAAGTTGCCCCACACCTATCCCAAGCTTCAGTGGGCTATTTATATCACTTATTTGATTCCAAAATATTTCTTTGCTCACCTCTTCAATTATCACATCATTTACTAAATTATTTACTCATTGTCTTATCTACTCCCCTAACCAGGCTCCGGGCAGCCAAAGGCAGAGGCTGTCACTAATTTATCTTTGTATCTACATTGACTAGCACATGTTATACACTCAAATAACTAAAGCAAACTGAGCAATGCAATGTGGAAGGACATAGTATTAAAGGATATTATGGGCCAGGCGCGGTGGCTCACGCCTGTAATCCTAGCACTCTGGGAGGCCGAGGCGGGTGGATCGTTTGAGCTCAGGAGTTCGAGACCAGCCTGAGCAAGAGCAAGAACCTGTCTCTACTAAAAATAGAAAGAAATTAATTGGACAGCTAAAAATATACAGAAAAAATTAGCCAGGCATGGTGGCACATGTCTGTAGTCCCAGCTA